CGTTACAAACTACCATGATTTGAATTTGCTTGGTCTTGACTGGTTAGACAAGCTCCATATCTTTAATGTACCATTAAATTCAGTATGCTCTAATGTTTCGTCTTCACCACACAACGTTGTTCCCGGAGATGTATCTGATCAATCTCTCTTGCAACGCCGTCGTCAAAAGCACGCTTCTGTCTTCCAGGACAAACTTGGTTGCTGCAAACTGTTTGGCATCCAGCATATTCGTAGCCCCCCGTATCATCCCCAATCGAATGGACAGACTGAACGTTTCGTCGACACCTTTAAGCGTGCTTATGCAAAAGCGAAGGGGGAGGGAACAACAGAAGAAATTTTGGATAAATTCTTGCTGCATTATCGTACGAATGAAAAAGGACAGTTATGTGTCAGACACACAGATCACGCTCTATCCAGTACCACGCAAAGGTCAACTCGACAAAGAAGAGCTCCGAAACCTTTTCAAATAGATCCAAAAAGCAAGTCCTACACTCTTTACGGGGAGAGGTGATAGGATCCCACATATTTTGGTATTGACTGTTTAATCTTGCATATATGGTATGTTATCATTCTCACACATTTTGGTATTTACTGTTAATCTTGTATATATGGTATATTATCATTCTCACACATTTTGGTAGTGACTGTTAATCTTGATATATGGTATATTATCATTCCACACATTTTGTTATTGACTGTCAATCTCGCACATATGGTATATTATCATCTCTCACGCACTTTGTTATTGGCTATTAAGATCAATTATTCCAAATGCTGTTAGCTGTCCATATTGTTGTAAAATGTATAAATACCATGGCTTTCTTTATCGTTGTTGCACTTCAATACACAGTCACAGTCCAGCCTTTGTCTTTTGATATTTGCGTGCTTTACTAAATCGGAAGGTACGACAAGCAGATAGGCAGATTAGTTCAGGCGCAGACAGAGCAAGGTGAAAACGTCTTCCTTGAATTCCCTACAGTTATAACAAATTGGCGACGGGGTTTTACCTTAATTCATTGCAGTTATAACAAATTGGCGACGGGGTTTTACCTTAATTCATTGCAGTTATAGCAAGCAAACGACGACAGTTTTTATTCTGTTCAGCGCAGCTGTAGAACATTTTTGACTGTGTTAATTACAACCCAATTACAATGTCTATCTCTCTGGACGATCTCAAATCTATCTTGCAGCAGCAGCAAGTTCAGAATGAAGCAGCTCAACTAAAATTAATCGAAGCTCTCACTCAGAAGCTATCCATTCAAGTTCCATCGACATCTCATTCTGACAAATATGAAAGACTTTTTGTTGTTACACTGCAAAGTGCACTGGAAGCTGTCATTATGATGAGTGGAGTGTTGCTAAACCAACTTTTGTTAATAACTGTTGTAGATGATAGACACTTGAACTCATGCATAAAGAATTGAGGAATATCATCTTCTCGAACAACTCGCTGCCTGGATTTCATTAGGTAGGAAGAATTTAGAAGTAACTATGCTAGTACGACTAGGTATAAAACCTCCCTACTCACACACAAACATTTTATCTGGTGGGAAGAGTGTGTAAGACGAGAGTTCACATTAGTATCTAGTGTGATGTGTCTAGTCCTCTCATTAGTGCAGACTAAATCTATCAGTCATGTCGTAATGTGGCCACCATTCCAGGTGGCTCGCCATCACGGTGCACATTGATTAATTGATATTAAATGGTTGGAGGCGATCCGCAGGAAGCCTTAAACCTAAGTGATGGTGAGCTACCTAGAATGGTGGCCACATTACAATCTGACTGATAGAATTCAGTCTGCGCCAAAGAGAGGACTAGACACATCAAATTAGTTGCTAGTATCCAATCAAAATATTGACTACAGTCCTATAGGAGGTCAATCGCGAGCCAGCCCAAATAGCTCAGCGGTAGCGTCTCTGACTGCAGGCTGCACTGGGTGACTCAAGTTCAAATCTCAGAAGGGACATGAGTTCCTTCAATGTGGTTGCAGATACGCCTTGCCAATTAGCACGAAACCTAGGTCAGGCAAGGCTTACTGTGGCCGATTGCCTCCAACCATCTAAGACATGACACTACTAATATCCTGAGGACCACTAAGCAACGGCCATTTTAATTCTTCCTTTAATCAATTATAATTGTTGTTAATATTTCTACATTCTTACTGAACAATATTATCAATGCAAATGTTGTGCTAGTTATTCTTCCCCACCCCACCAATACTACCTATTGCAATATTGTAATAAGTCCTGAAAATTCCACATAGCATACAAAGCAATGTTTGGAACACAGCCTTTATTATCATTGTCTCTGTCTGTTTTTGACATAAAACTTTGCACCACTGTGCGGCAGTTTAAGTCGCTACACTACCTCCATGTAGCACACAAAGCAACAGAAGAAAGCAGAAGTAGAAGAAATGCATAATAGAGAGAGAGAGAGAGAGACAGTAGCACAGAGGTGTGAGACAAAGGAATAGTAGTAATAACGAAGAACAATATAGTTTCATTGGAAATCATAAGTCACAAGGAGTGAGTGGATGCATCTGCGCTAGCCAGTCAGCCAGCCATTGAGAACGATCACTTTGAGCCATCTCATCACCAATTGTTTCCAGCCTTCATTGGTTTTGACCGTCGTGAGGACCCCAACCAGCAAGGAAGTTCACACCTTCCTACGTGGTTGACTGGCTGGCTTGCTTCAACTAACTGTTGTGGATTCCATTGACTGACGATGAAGCCACGTTGTGCTTTGACCGCCGCTAGCTTTTTCCCAGCCTGACCAATCCTAAGTCAGCCAGCTAACATTTCCCATTGTCGAGGAAGGCGATGACTAGGCATGCATACGTAACACATGTCCTAACCATCTCAGTCGATGTAATTTCACAGCCTCATTGTCGATTGATTTCCCTTCTTATCTAGCACTTGACTGATGTCTCACCTCAATATTGCTCACCTTATTATACCACTTCACACGGGAGATAGAGCGCAGGCACCTATGATCAAAGACAGCTAGTCTGACTTTTCATGTCTTCCACTCTCAATGGCCAGGTCTCACAGCTAGCCATAAAGGAGGACGGAGCGGACTGCTGAGCAGTACACCCGCCTTTTGGTTGATAGCCAGCCGGAAATCACGTCTACGCCAGAGACGGCGTAAACTGGCTGGCGTATGCGAAACTAGCCCTCTGTATCCATACTCAGCTGAGATTTCGTCAGAGATCAACCCGTTGGCACTGGCTGATGGTACTTTCCAAATAAGTGGAGCGGTCAACGTGCTCTACCAACCACATCACTCCCTATTTCTAAACTAGGAGTCAGTGTAGTCCGGTCCAGTCTTGTCACATCCTTTTGCATTTGGCAGGAGTGAATCGCATGCCAACTGACTGATTGGTCAACTTTGTTATCATTACTGCAACAACTACTACTGTTAAGAAATGCGACATAAAGAATTACAGCCATAGGGTCTTCTATGGCCCATCGATAGTCGTGCAACCCATGCCACACCTAGAATCAATTAATCAGATCCTTCATCAAAGAATCAAGGGCATATGCCACAAAATACACACTCAAATGGAGAAGTGGAGTCATTCTCCCTAATGACTGACTGACTGGATTCTACATAAAACTCTGCACAGATATGCACCAGTTTGGGCTTACCACACTAGCTCCATGTACCGCACAAAGCAAGAGAAGAACGTAAACAGAGATTAAAGAGAGAGAGAATAAACAGAAGTGTGGATGAGGTAAAAAGAATAGTAGTAATATGGAAGAACAGTAGAATTTTATCGGATATTATAAATCGCAAAGAGTGAATGCATCTGCACCAGCAATGGACAACGATAATTTTGAATCAGCCATGTCACCCATTGTCTCCAGCCTTCATTGGTTCTCACCACCAGCTCGAAGGCCACAACCAAGCACAGTCTACACCTCTCTAACGTGACTAGCTGGCTTAGACTTACTGTTGTGGATTTCATTGACTGATGATGAAGTCATGTTCTGGTTTGACCACCACCATCACTAGCTAACTCCTTTCCAACATGATCTATCCATTTTATGTCAGTCAGTGGCTAACATCACCCGTCAGTCGAGGAAGGCGATGACTAGACAGGTGGGCATGCGTGAGTAACACATGTAACTGCTTTGCAACCTCATCAGTAGATTGCTTTCTCCTCCTCCTTACTTAACCAGCACTCAATCGATGCCTCACTTCAATATTACCACCTACACCACGTAATACGGGATATAGAACGCAGGCACCTATGATCGAAGACAACGAGCTAGCTAACCTTTCCATGTCTTCCACTGTGTGAATAGACATGTTTCACAGCCAGCCATAAAAGAGGACGAAGCGAACTGGTGAGCAGTCAGTACACAGGCTCTTTGGTCGACAGCTAACCGGATATCACGCCCACTAAGCCAGAGAGGGAGAGAGAAAGATGGACTATGCTGAACAAGACTGTTGAACTAAGATTCGTAACCAACTCACATTATTCTTCCACTCAGGTGTAGCTAGCTTCACAATTTTATCACCAATAGATGTTAACAATCCATGATATATTTATGCTTCAAAAAAACTGTGTGTTCTGTACTCTTCTGAGTTAACATTCACGTGATAGACACATTTAATTCCCTTAAATAAATTGTTGTGGGATAAACACAGATAGATGGTTGGTCAAGAGAATTTCCTGCTTCTGCGTTTTTTTTCACCTCTACTGATTTATTACAAGATTTCATCATGAGTTGACATTGGTTAGAGAACCATTGGAAAACCCGCAGGGAGTACTGGACAGCTGTTTCGTCTTAGTTTGGGAGTTTTCGCCGGGGTTCAAACCCTACAAACCAACGCTATTGATATATACTCAACAAATCAGCATTTTATTACTGTCATCAACTCTGCCCACCGAAGGCATCTCACACAACTGTAGAATCAAAAATACCTAATGGTTCACAATCACCCCTTCCACCAGGCCGCATTCCACTCCTCCTCTGTTAAATAATTTTTTGCACTAATTATACAATTTGTATTTATTTATGTCGTCTAAGGATTCTTAAACTTGCTTTACTTACTGCACATACAAACGAAAAAAAAATTGTTCAGTGGTTGACAATATTACAACACTTTTATTACAGTTTAATGATTGCTGGAAAGAAGGTTATACACACATAGAGAGAGAATAAAACAAAATACACCGTCTTATTTTGAAAATAATCTGAACATGCAGTTTCAACTAGTACTGCAATGGGCGTTTATCAAGCCCGTGTTTGTTCCAGGGATAATACACACACACACAAAAAAAGAAAATTTTTTCAGAAATTATTTTTATGAACAAACAAACAGACAAACAAAAAAGCTGTTGTATTACAATATCTTCGGATGTGTGTGTGTGTGTGTTTATGTGTGTATAAGCATATACTCTATAATAAAATACATAAAATAGAGAGAATTATACAGCTTTAACAAATCCAACTGATAAAGCCACACCGGAGGACAATCCAAGAGCAAGATATATGCACAGCGCTGCACCAGCAGATTCATGATTTCCAGGAGATGCAAAACTATAATAAGGCGAAAAAGAAAAGGAAATTTTTACAATATCATCGAATATAAATATTAAGAATAGAGTGGGGAGGGGGGGAATATAATACAAACAGTAAGTTCAAAGAAAGGACTAGACACATCACACTAATTACTAGTGTCCAATCAAACTTCCCACTACAGTCCTATAGGAGGTCAATCGCTAGCCCGAATAGCTCAGTGGTAACGTCTCTGACTGCAGGCTGCACTGGGTGACGAGGGTCAGAATCTCGGAAGAGACATGAGTTCCTTCAACGTGGTTGCAGATACGCCTTGCTGACTTGTGAGTGCCAACTAGCACGAAACCTAGGTCAAACAAGGCTTTCTGTGGTCGATCGCCTCCAACTACCTAGTTCAATTGTTGGTTATGCAAAGGAGGGGGTTGGCTGGTTTCAGGATGTACTTCATAGTCAACTGATATCGGTTAGAGAACCATTGAAAGACCAGCCCCACAGGGAGTACTAGAAAGAGTTGTTTCGAGCCACCGACTTTTGAGACTCCGCTTCACCAGTACGCACCCATTCACCGCCACCCACCGACAGGGTTCGAACACAGCTAGCTAGCTTCTAGACCATTAAAGCAGTGCCACTGGGATCCGATCCAAAGGCCAGTCAGTCCATGAATTCCAACTTCTGTCAATTCACGATGCAGCAGTGCGACCATCTGTCAATCTGCCATATTCACTACTATTCACACACAGCTTGACAACACAAACGTATAAAAAACAAAAAATGACAAAAGAACTCACGTTGGTCCATGCATCATTGCAATAGTCATAAGGTAACCGTTAGTTAGGCCTAAAATAATCACCATCAGTGCTGGAAATACATCATGTTTGAATAGAACTGGTAAGTGGTATCTCGGTTGAGCATTACAAAACATACAGAATGGAATAAGAATGAAACGTAAAATACACAATGCCAAAACTAATCGCATTTGATTTCTCCTAGGCTGAAACAAACAAACAAAAAAAAGATTATGGGAGATGAACTTACCTAAAGAATGACAAATATTACACAAATGAGGATAGACAACGAAAGCATACATGCGCTAGTTGACTAACTGGCTGGTTTCAACGTAGAACTTTGTACAGATGTGCAGCATTTCAAGTTGTCACACTCCATGTAGCAAACAAAGCAAGAAAAGAGAGTAAGAGAGAGAGAAAGAGAGAGTAACAACCCGATCGATAGCTGCTACCTTGACGTGGTTGTCGGGCTTGCATATCGCAATATGACCCAAGACGTTACACTGACTGGAACTGATGTTTCTACAGGTCCTACCATGCCATAAAGATTGTTAGGATAGCGATTAGACTAAAAGCAGATACCAGAATAGTGTAAGGTTTCTTTAACACCATGCTGGGGATCTGTGGGCAAATTTGTACTGCTGGGGAATAGGGGGATGTAATGGTGCTAAGGCGGTGTTTCCTTCAGATGACCAGCAAGTCAGCCAGCTGTGCTGTTGTCTCTCCACTCTGGAGAGAGAGAGAGAGTGAGAGTCAGAAAATGTCAACCCCAAAGATTGTATATCCTGGTGGCCCGTAACCGGCGGTAAGTTACTAATACGGAACCAAACCAAAAAGCCAGTCCAGACAAGCCGTGAGTGACTGACCTCAATCAGTTGCCCCATCTGGGCTCTTTGGTCACGGAACACTAATTCTCCTTCCGCTTGAGGTATCCTAAGAATAAATCAACTTCCACAGTGGTGTGGGCGATCAGTTGGGAAGTAACAACCGCCCAGACACTTTCAAAAGTACATGAAGAAGCCCTTCTAATCATCATCATTCTCCTTTATATCCACATCATCTTGCTTCCTTACTACTGTCAGTACTATTCAGCAGACTGATCGCTCATCTTCATTTAATTCTGTGACCACAAATAAAGTTGAGAGCCAGAAAAACACCCACCCCCTCCATAGCCTCTTAATATGCGCCAGTTAGCACCGAAAAAATTAGAAGGCTGTGCGTCGGTGGCACAGTGGTTAGGACTCTCGCCGACTATGCACATGGTCTGAGGTTCGATCCCCTGCCGACGCACACCTGATATCTATGGTCGGCCTGCGAAATTTGGGCTACCGATATCCATGCTGAAAATTCCATACTTGTACCAAAAATACAGTGTGGAATCAAGCAGTAATCAAAAAACAAAAACAAAACAAATTACCACCCATGGAACCAAGTTTCCCAACCAATATACAGCACAGTTCCTGTTCTACACTTTGTCATATATATCATTTCCATGCTAAGAGAACAGAATTAAGTGCTTACAGCGATTTGTCATCTGAAATGGTGACGAATAGTGGTGCCCGTCAGGGATGCCAATTATCCCCATTTCTATACAATTTCATCACAGATGTACTAATGGACTTAAACATAACTCAATTCAGAGATTCAGGGATTGACTTGTTACCAGGGAATAATCTCGCTGACTTAGAATATGCAGACGATATAGTCCTTCTAGGAGAAGACGCTGACAAAATACAGCAGAGTCTTCTGGACACCTTGAGGTGCGATCCACGAATGTTTGGCATGCGATTCACTCCTGCCAAATGCAAAAGGATGTGACAGGACTGGACCGGACTACACTGACTCCTAGTTTAGAAATAGGGAGTGATGTGGTTGGTAGAGCACGTTGACCGCTCCACTTATTTGGAAAGTACCATCAGCCAGTGCCAACGGGTTGATCTCTGACGAAATCTCAGCTGAGTATGGATACAGAGGGCTAGTTTCGCATACGCCAGCCAGTTTACGCCGTCTCTGGCGTAGACGTGATATCCGGCTGGCTATCAACCAAAAGGCGGGTGTACTGCTCAGCAGTCCGCTCCGTCCTCCTTTATGGCTAGCTGTGAGACCTGGCCATTGAGAGTGGAAGACATGAAAAGTCAGACTAGCTGTCTTTGATCATAGGTGCCTGCGCTCTATCTCCCGTGTGAAGTGGTATAATAAGGTGAGCAATATTGAGGTGAGACATCAGTCAAGTGCTAGATAAGAAGGGAAATCAATCGACAATGAGGCTGTGAAATTACATCGACTGAGATGGTTAGGACATGTGTTACGTATGCATGCCTAGTCATCGCCTTCCTCGACAATGGGAAATGTTAGCTGGCTGACTTAGGATTGGTCAGGCTGGGAAAAAGCTAGCGACGGTCAAAGCACAACGTGGCTTCATCGTCAGTCAATGGAATCCACAACAGTTAGTTGAAGCAAGCCAGCCAGTCAACCACGTAGGAAGGTGTGAACTTCCTTGCTGGTTGGGGTCCTCACGACGGTCAAAACCAATGAAGGCTGGAAACAATTGGTGATGAGATGGCTCAAAGTGATCGTTCTCAATGGCTGGCTGACTGGCTAGCGCAGATGCATCCACTCACTCCTTGTGACTTATGATTTCCAATGAAACTATATTGTTCTTCGTTATTACTACTATTCCTTTGTCTCACACCTCTGTGTTACTGTCTCGCTCTATTATGCATTTCTTTTACTTCTGCTTTCTTCTGTTGCTTTGTGTGCTACATGGAGGTAGTGTAGCGACTTAAACTGCCGCACAGTGGTGCAAAGTTTTATGTCGAAAACCGACAGATGCCAATAGGGCGAGGTGACTATTGTGAAAATTATTTGATGGAAGCATATTTCAGCATCAATAAAGTATCATTTGAGTGACTTCAAAAGGTCGCAGTCATCGGGCACAATCACTCTTCTGATGTACATTATATTCTGAATAAGCAACTAATCATCAGACAAATAAAGTGGAATTAAAGTAATAATTAAAAAAACAGAACTTTATTTACACTTTCATAATGCATTCAATGTCAGTTGGCCAACAAACACACATAAATCCATTCAACAAATCCATCCACATCAACACACTTGTAAATATTTGTTTAGATAACACACTACGAATTCATCAGGTTGGTTATCTAATGTGATGATAAGCAGCACTCTGTTCTGTTCTGTTCCGTTTTCATGTGATTTGATTTATTCATTCACATTTATTCATACACACACACACACACAAGCACACGTGAAAAATACGATGACCCCACAGTTAGTCAGTGTGTCATTTGACTGATGTGATCGATAAGTAAGTGTAGCAGTATAGTATAGTATAGTATAACTGACCGACTGACCATGATATTAACGTGTGTGTCAAGTAAACGTGATAATATTAGAACCACCACCTTATTATTCGAGGGAGGGCTACACGACTCAACACGAATCTGTCGAATGGATAGAGTTACCGCGCTTGTGTTTACAGAGCTCACACAGACACTATGAACACACACATCAGTTGTGACCGACATTTGACACTTCGTTATGTCGCAGTGACGACAACAACCACACAACATGTAATTCAATTCAATTCAATTCAAGGATAACTGACACTAGATGATGGTGAGTGACATTCAACTTCGACGGATTTGTATGGATAAAAAATGACTTCATCAATCACCCATATCATCATTTGTCGCGTTGTAAGTGATGATACGTTGAGTCAACCCCTCCATAGACGAACTATCATAAACTATCTGGCTAACAGACATTTACATTTGTTAGGTGATATTTCAGAGATTTGTCAACCACTGAACATTACAACATTAGTTGACCTGACCTTATCATCAGTCAGTCAGTGAGTGAGTCAGCCAGGCAGTCAGTCACCGAACTCATCACAATTTCGAAAAGAAAATACTTATTTACAATAACAGTCAACAGACACCAACTATCCAACACAATATCCTGAGAGAAAGCGACACCCACACACACATATATAGAGAGCATCGACAAATGACGTTTCTCTTATTAATAATTCGTTATTAAACAAGATCAATAATAATAAGCTGTAGTGCACTTGTAAAAGTTTATATGTTGAAGGCCTTTGTACAAGTGAACATCATTCGTGTTGTTGAGGTAGACATCAAATTGTAACAGATTTCAAAATACTCTGGGGTACCACACACACATGCTCACAGACACAGACACAGATACACATTAATGTCAACAGAAATAGTTGGCTATAATTACACCCACACCTCACACACTATTAGTTCAGGAATCCTACAGAGGATCCTACACAATCCATTGGGGCTTTCATGTCAATATTTATGTTATCCAAAATAAATTAGTGTCTGTCGCATTCATATGTGACAGTCTCACAGTGACAGTAATAATAATAATAATAATAATCAAGCGACTGTTTTCTCAGATTTGTCACCGATAACATGTACGTTACTTTGACAATTTCGTGAAGGCATTCACTACCATCCAGGATGAATATACGACTTCTGTATAAACATTTAAGAAGAGAAGGTTTGATTTTCTGTGGCAGATGTTTGGACATCGCTTAAAACCATCGATAATGTGTTATTCATCAGCATAAGGATGAAAAACGAAAAGCCTACGTCTCAAGGGAACAAACGCTTACAACGATGCCAGACATCTCCTTGATACGGGGGATTATGAGTTGGAAATCGCAATATCCTTTGAAATTATGAATAAACAATATATACACATTTTCATAGCTTCGTTCCTCTCTCAAGTACAAAAGAAATTTTAGTAAAGACCCTCAACCACAGAGTTAGTTAGAGCTATGTGGTCAGAAGAAGTAATTAAAGATGAATTAAGCATTGTGTATAATACCTTGATCGAAAATAGCTATCCCGACAAATTTAATCAACACATGACAAAGAAAGCGGCGGAAAAGGACTGACTACTCACAATCTGTAAACAAGAAGCCACTTTATATAAGACTACAATTCAAGGACGATCGACAAACCAAGTGGGATAATTACGAGGAAATTAAGAAAATCAGTTCAAAGAAGTTTTAATGCTGGCGAACTACACGTATTATTCTCCCTCTACACGACTGATGGTGCTACTTCGACTGAAAGATGAAGTACCTAGACTAGCTGGCCACTTCAAAGTGTATCTACCAATTCAACTGCGACTGTGCTTGTAGTGCGAGTTATATTGGCCGTTGCTCTAGGAACTTTATTTTTCGTGCTCGCTAGAGAACATCTCTCAGCATGACTAAGTAAAGGTGTAGTGAAAACCATTAACAGCTCGATATTGGACCATCTGGTGCACACCGGCCGGCCACAAAGCCAATCAGCCAGCATTGAAGAATCCTTCTCTATCATCTACTGGGTGCCTAATAAAGTGCTAAAGTCGTCATCGAAGCACGGCATGCTCCAAACACCAGAGGCTATTGCAACTCGCCTCAAACAACCAGTGGTCTGTGTGGAGAAGAAGCAAGTCCAATTAGCCCCCACTACTGCCCTGGCTGGCCTTCAGTAGAGACTAGAAATTCATGAATTTGTAATATTATCTTTCGTAATACAACTGACATTCAGCATACTGTTGTGTTGTTGCTATTAAACTGTAATCCACTGATAATATTATTATTGATTCGATGTTATTTAAACAGCGACATTAGTGTTGCTCGTAAGATTAATTCACTCATTTATTCACTATAATGCATGGAAATATAGCTGTAGAGCCTGATGATGAAGTTATCGAAAAGAGTACTCTTTGTTCAGTATCCATTCTTTTCAAAAATACAGAATGTATTAAAGTTAACTTACCCATTTGACGAAACCGCCTAGAGTTCTTCCACACCAATCACAAATATTATACGACAAAAATATCAGTACTGGTACAAAGTAAATATCTAAGAGTGTAAACAAACAAAGTATAAGTGTTAAAAGTAAGTAAGTATTCATAAGTAGTAAAATGCATTCAACATGGGGCTCTGATATAACATATATGTAAACACCCTCTACTGTTATCCCCGAACGCAAGGCTGCCTTTTATCGCCAACAATGATATTGTTAATTGTGGTCGACTGGATTATGCAGAAGAGACTGTGCACAGGGAGTGAGTGAGTGAATATCGGGATAATCAGTGACACTTACAGTCGCCAGACGGGACTGTCTTTGACTATTCCTTAGGTTAACGCAGACGACAGTAAACTGTCTCCATCGTCCTTGAACACCTCTGGAGTTATTCCACCATCAGAACCTGCTGCTTTGCCTCACGTTTCAGACCAGAGACATCTTTTGTAACCTCAGTTAAGGGAACAGAGGACTTGTGTGTGTTTATATCATCGGAGCAATTCAGATCTAACCGACCAATTGTGTTTCATGGAGTAATTTACAGGTTAAGCAATGAGAATGACAGTTTGACTCAAATTAATTCATTGGTTAATAAAAATATACGCGTGTGGGGTAATTAAGAATACTTGACATTGTGTCAATAAGCTGTTAGCTGTGCACAACTGATGTAGACCGAAAAAAGCGAGCAAATCACTTATTCCGATAACATTCTTGTACATACCAAAAACGTCTTGTTGTTATTAGATGGCTGCGCCTGGGTTTCGTGCTTGTTGGCACTCATCAGTATTCAGGATGGAAGGGGTGCATCTTCAACCTTAATCTGAGATACGAACGCGTGTCACTCAGTGCTGCATGCAGTCAGAGACAACGTTACCGCCGAGATATACAGGCTGGAGATTTATCTCCTGTAGGACTGACTCACTTTATCGGATACACTGCTTGGGCATTAGGCAGTAAATCGCTAGTATTATGTTATGTGTGCCTATTCCCTCAGTCTGGTGCAGAATAAATTCTGTCGTTAGTCAAGTCTTCAGTATGGCTGCCAGGCCGACTAATTGACCGGCTTGCAATCACAGTGCACTTTGAATGCTTTCAGTGCTTTTGTTGAATGGTTGAGGACCATCGGCCATAGGTAGTAAAAAATCCAATATGTACTAAACAAAGAACTAGACGCATGACACTAGTTAGTACTATTACTATTATTATATCATTGTTCCCGTGGGTTCCTAGTGCAACGTAGGGCTTCAACTGCACGTCTCCATTTGCTTCTGTCTTCCTTCTGCTGTACTTTTCACATGTATCCATGTTAGTCCATACTCTTTCAACTCCTCTTCACACGATCTTCTCCATGTCACCCCTGCACTGACGTCCCACTCGCCGCTTTCTTTTCAACCTGGTTCCATTCGAGAATGGCCTGACGCGCAATGTCACCCAGCAGCGGCCTCCTCAGCGAGTGTCCAATCCACCTCCACTTTCTCCTGCATATTTGTTGGACGACTGTTTTGTTCTTGTTTTGTTTGTTCCCATAGTTTGGTGCTTGTTGGTGATTCTTTCCGGCCCCCGGCCATCTGATCTTCAGTATAGAGCCAGCGAAGACAGTTAGTTGTTGATAAAGGTCACGTCTGCAACAGACTATTGGAAATATTCTTTGTGACCCACCCACCAAGTTTCTGATCCGTATAGAAGAACTGACTGACTTGACGTTTGTATTGAAAATACGACCGAATTTTGTTGTTGATAATGAGTGACGAAGATTTCCAGATTGGTTTCAGGTTGATGAATGTGTTTCTCGCCCCCCACCCGATTCTCTCTTGATTTCACATCCTCGTTCGTTCCGACTTCCTGTAGTTCAGACAATGCTCCCTCCCTAGATAAGTAAGTGAATGAAGTAACCTCTTTCACATCCCTCCCGCTGATGGTGATTGGTTGCTGGCTGAATGTTGCTGCTGCTGTTGTTGGCTGGTTGGTTGGTTATTTTCATCACCTCCGTCTTGTCTATGTTCACATGGAGTCCTGTCTTCGCCGGCTGCTTCTTCAACCAATTTGTCGGTTTTCGCTTGTAAGTCTTCGATTTTGTGTGACATCGAACACAAACATTGCCGCGCGAAATCCAGGTCTTCTAGGTTCTTCACGTCGGTCCAGGATATGCCTGTCTTCTCGTTTCCCACTGTCTGACGCATACTCCAGTCAGTTCACCACAATTAGGAATATCATTGGTGATAGATAATAATCACCCTTGTCTGACTCATGTGTTCACTCCAAACACCTCGCTGAGTTTTCCATTGTGGATCACTTGACATGTGCCGTTGCCGTATAGCTGTTGAATAAGGTTGATGAATATTTCGGGTACGCCGTAGTACTTGAGTATTTTCCAAATTACTTCGCGGTCAACGCTGTCTGTCGAAGGGCTTCTCGAAGTCTATAAAGTTGAGGTAGAGATTTGATTGCCATTCCATGCTTTGTTCTATGATGATTATGCGTAGAGTTGCAATTTGGTCAGAACATGATTTACCTTGTTCTGGTCGGAGTTCTGTATCCAGTGCGTTTTTTATCCTCTCTAGGATGATGTGACTCAGAATTTTACTCGGCGTCGACAGGAGCATGATTCCTCGCCATTTGTTGCAGAGTCCTAAGTCGCCCTTCTTTGGTAGTTTCACGAGGTAACTTTTCCCCCAGTCAGTAAGCAACTTTCCCTCCTTCCAGACCTATGTCTAATCAAAGAACATTACAGAACTAACTCTTATGCTGTTTGTGTTTCCTGTGAAATGAACCAAAGAATTCAAAGTGTACAGTTAAAAATCTACTGCATTATATTATTATTGTTTTCCTTAGTTCCTACAGGGACACGTCTCCATTGTGTTAGATTCTTCGCCAACGTTTTCATCTGGCTCCATGTCTGCTCACATGCTTTCATCTCCTCTTCACATCACTTCCTCCATGTCAACCTCTCACTGACGACTAACTCACCACTCCCCGTTCGGGTTTCACTCGAGAGAGAGAGTCTGGCGTGTGATTTCACCCAACTGATGGTTTGTTTTCTCAGAGTTTGGCCAATCCACCTCAATTTCTTCTTGGATATTTGTCGCACAATTAACTCCTGCTGCGTTGGTTCGCTCATTGCCAGAGATCCCTGTTGCTGATCTTCTCTGGCCAGCCATCTGAACTCGAGTATTCAGCGAAGACGGCTGTTGATGAAGGTCTGTAGCTTGTTCGAAGTGCCTTCGTGACGCGCCAAGTCTCTGATCCGTCCAGTGGCACTGACTTTATCACATTGGAGTTGGAAATCAGGATCTTATTTTTCATGCTGAGTGCTACTGACCTGCTCCACATAGACTTGAAAGTAATCAAAGCTTGTCTTGCTTTCCCGATCTTTGCTTTGATATCCTCATCAGTTCCGTCCGCCTGCAGTTGAAACTACGCTTCTACTATATAGAAAAAATAATCCCCATTTAGACATGTAGAAAGCAAAACTATTGATTGATCGGGAAAATACTTACTTTTTCAATTAGATCCTCATCTCACTCTGATTCTACTCCAATATACATACACGAATAGGATTTTTCTTTAATACAATACACATTTTTAACAATCAAGTGGCACTGATATGTTTTTGTTAACACATAATTAGTCAGTATCAACATGTCATGGGGCTTGTTGATAATAGCCAAATAAGACAATTCAAACAATTAAAGGGTAGAAATGGCTACAATAATGGTAACATGTAATTTAAGATATGAAGTAGTCGGAAAAACAATGGCATAATTTGGAAAATTATAATTTTTACATTTTCAGGAGAAGCAGTGTGGAGAAGAAACCTACATCAACAGGTCAGTACACTCATTTCTTGAGTTTTACACCTTTGAAATAGAAACGTAACTTGCTAAAGTGTCTGGCTTATACAGCTCCCTCAATGAGAGGAACTTATGATTAATAGATAATTACTTAGTAAAATTGGTCATGCAGATAAGTTCACTCAGGAAAATATGAATTTAGGCACCAAGGTGAGTCAGTATGCTGACAGCTACAAAAAACTGCAGTTCCTCAGTGATAACATCGACGAAATACTAACACAGCGAACGCCTCAAGAAGAATGCAGTTAATAGAGCTCTCAATGCAGCCTGTCTGTTTTCCACATAGAACTTTGCACAAATGTGCAGAAGTTCAAGTCGCCACATTCCGTGTAGCACGCGAAGCAAGAGAAGAAAGTACAAGAAAAGCATAATAGAAACAGTGAACAGAGGTGTGAGACAAAGGAGTAATAAAGAAATACAAAACAGTTTCATTGAAGATCATAAGTCACAGGGAGTGGATGCATCTGCGCCACTGAGAACGGTTTTGAGCCATGTCACCAATTGTTTCCAACCATAGATTTTTACCGTCCCGAGGACCCCAGCCTGGAAGTCTACACCTTTCTACGTGGCTTAGACCAACTGTTGTGGATTTCATTGACTGATGCCAAGTTTTTGTTTGACCGCCGCTAGCTTTTTTCCAGCCTGACCCTATATCCGCTAACATTGCTCGTCGAGGGAGGCGATGGCTTGGCATACGTAACACATGTCCTAACCATCTCAGTCTTTGTAGCTTCACGACTTCGTCGATTGATTTCCCCTGTTTACCTAGAACTCTACGCCTAACCTCCATGTTGCTCACCTTATTATGCCACTTTACACGGGAAATAGAACGCAGGCACCTATGATCAAAGACAGCTAGTCTTTTCATGTCTTCCACTCTCAGTGGCCAGGTCTCACAACCATAAAGGAGGACGGAGCGGACTGATGAGCAGTACACCCGCCCTTTGGTCGATAGTCGAACATCTCGTCTACGCCAGAGTCGGCGTAAACTAACAAATGCGAAACGAGCCCCTTGTATTCGTGCTGAGATTTCGTCAGAGATCAGCCCGTTGGGGCTGATGGTACTTCCCAAATAAGTGAAGCGGTCAACGTGCTCTACCACTTCACTTCCTATTTTTAAACTAGGCGTCGATGTAGTCCAGTCCTGTAACATCATCTTGCATTTGGCGGGAGCGAATCGCATGCCAAACATTCGTAGATTGCGGCTCAAGGTGTTTAGAAGACTCTGCATTTCGTCAGCGTCTTCGCCTAGAAGGACTATATCGTCTGCATATTCCAAGTCAACGAGATTATTCCCGGTAGCAAGTCAATCCCTGAGTCGCTGAAGTCACCTAGGGTTAAGTCCATTAACACATCTATGATGAAGTTGAATAGAAAAGGAGATAATGGGCATCCTTGACGGACACCACTGGTCGTCATCAGTTCAGATGACAGCTCGCCGTAAGCCCTCACCTGGCTGTATGAGTACGAGTAGAGTGCCTTAATCAGTGCAATATATTTTCTTGGAATTCCCTTTACAGCCAAGCATCTCCAGAGAACTTCCCGATCGACAGAGTCGAATGCTGCCTTTAGGTCAAGAAATATAATGACTGTTGGACGCCGGTAGGAATGCCTATGTTCTAGAATCTGTCGGAGGGTGAAGATATGATCAATACACCCTCTTCCTGGTCTAAAGCCTGCCTGGCTCTCTCGTGTTTGTGCTTCCCGAGCACCACTCAGTCTACGCATGATTATTGAGCCTAAGACTTTAGATACTATATTAGTCAAGCTAATCCCTCTGTGATTATCACAGGAAGACTTGTCTCCCTTCTTGTATATGGGGATAATCAGTGACTTACACCAACAGAGGTGGCACGTTGTCTCTTCACGAGCATCCGAACGTTACGTTCGAGAAATACAGACAAACTACCTCATTTAGCCTCCTCACGTATGTGTATCTACCAATTTGACTGCAGTTGAGGAGCCAGCCAGCTACATTGGCTATACAATTAGATAGGTTCATCATCGTATTTCCGAACATCATTCTGCATAATGGTGGTTAAGCAAGGGAAAAACAAGATCTATTCGTAGCTGTGTTTTAGCACACCTTCTACATAGTGAGCATAAGGTTGACGTTAATACAGCATGTGAAGTTATTTATCACAACCTTACTAGTCTTAATTTTATTCTACGAGTTCGTCTTCCACACATACACACACACAGCTGAAGTAATAGGAATCCACCTGAAGAACCTAGACCTGTGCGTGTTCAGCAGAAATTTGTACACCCACTTGCCTTACCTACCTTGGCTATCGTGACATGAATGTGTAAGCCGGACTACTTCGTGTGTCATCCTCCTAAAATTATATCTGTCCAAATTCTTTTTATTATTTTTCTGACTACTTTATCTTTAATTACAAGTTACCACAGTCCAAATTGTTTTATTTTTCTTTAATCACCTGTCACGTAAACAACAATATGAGCGAGTGGATGACATGTCCTTTGGTGGCTAGTTTATGATCATGGGTACCAAGACGAAGACGACGTCGTCCACTTTGGTCAATGTAGTGTTTTTCGCAGTCGTTGCGACTTATTTTGTAGATGCTGATATTGATTTTATCTTCTTTCGCTGTTCAGTCCTTTGGTTAACAACATACAGCTAGCTCAGTGAAGTGCTTTTGTTGGTTTGTGTGCGACATCAATTAATTCCTAACGGTTTCCAGTGGTTTCTCAGATGTCTTTTATACATGGTAGGGAGATTTATTTTGTTGCTTCCTCGGGGGCCTTTGATTTGGTGTTGGTTGGCTTGGAGGAATATTTCTCCTGATGAGGTTTTGTGGATATCCATTCTTTTGGAAGATGTCTATAAGAGTGCCGCAATCATTGCTGGCCGGCTGTCTTGAATCGTTTTTGTATACAACTCCTTTTGTGTGTTATTGGTCTGTGTGTGAGGTGATTTTCCTTCGGTTGTTATCTTGACTAAGACGTCCAAAAGTAGGAGTTTGTTCTCGGAATCCTGGTATTCCAGTGAATCGTCACAATTAATAGATACACTGGCATAGATAGAAATAACTAATCCATGAGAGGTAAATCTCACGCACCAAAAGTCACGCAGTTCAGGTCAAGGAAACAGTCAATTCCAATACAAATGGACTAGAGGGTGTGAAGACAGACAACAGCAACCAATCATTTTTAAGGTCACCCACCCGCCAGGAGAGATGATTTATCAGCTCGCGGAGAATTCTATAAGCTGTCTTCCTTCAAACTAAAGTATACGCTGAGGATGTTGCCTAGTAGGGGGCGATGAAAGCTTCGCAAGTAGACCATCGAGCTCAAAGAACACAACTACATCAATAGCCCCCCCAAATGATTCTTTAAATGTTGTGCATTGTATTGTACGTGTATGTATATTAGAGTAGGGGCAGAGTGAGATGAGGATCTAATTGAAAAGTAGATATTTCTTCATTCGCTCAATCAATCAATTCTTTTGCATTCTAAATGTCTACTAGCTAGAGAACTATTGACAACCAAAGGGCACTGAGTACAAATCACATCCTTACAAACTAACTTTCTGTAAAGTCCTACTAGTATATCCATTCTCAAGAGTCATATCAAAGAAACGCACACACACACACACACACACACTGTATGAGCATTATCAAAGTGTAAAAAAACTTTGATTTGTTTACTTGTCCATTTGTCTCCAGGAATAACATTCATTGGTCTAATCCTTGAAGCAACTGCTGGAAAGATTGATAAAGTGACTAGCAGTGTAAGTAAAACACAGAATCCAGGCAGAATTGTTTCTCTCATTGATGCTAAAACACCGATTGGTTGCCTGTCGACAATTGGTTCTAAAGATTCACTATGTTGTCTTTGTATTGACGGTTCACCTTCATTAGGGTTAGCTGAAGCTGTAGAAGAAAAGAAAAAAGGGGAAGAGGAGATAATATGAAACAATCAGGTGTGGGGAAGATAAATACCCATTAGAACAAAGAACATTCACATTCGCGATAACTTGCTCTTCATCAAGTTCTACAGTTATATTGTGGTGAGAGCTAGCCGCTAGCCAAAGCTGGTAGACAGTAATTTACGTCAATGCTTATGAACCCAATATTTGTCGTGAGAAAAATAAGAACAAAGACTTTGCGTAGGCGGATACAGTTAGCATATAGATGATCTGACATTCAAGAAACAGCCACAAAGAGATGCAAGATTAACTTTCAGTGAGAAACAACCAATCAGAAGACTGTGTTTTTCTGCTAACAATAATATATATATATATATATATATATATATGTTGATTTTCCTTAATAAACGATCTGTTTCCTGGCCCTTGTCTTCTGTCGTTACAATATGTGTGCATCCATAATAATGAATGAATTTATATTTTATTTCTTTATTTTTGATTGCAGCTTGATTCCACACTGCATTTTCGGTACAAGTATGGAATTTTCAGCATGGATATCGGTAGTCTAAATTTTGCAGGCCGATCATTGATATCAGGTGTGCGTCGGTAGGGGATCGAACCCTAGACCATATGCATGTTCGGCGAGAGTTCTAACCACTGCGCCACCGACGCAGGGTTAATAACGACTTTGAGAGAATAGAACATGTACCAATAAGGGAACAGACACCTACAATATTGCCATTAACAGACATCTCTCTCCTTGATGATACGGGTTATGAAGTGGAAATCGCAATATCCTTTAAAATTATCAATTATAGGCAGAAGAGCTCCTTAAGTTTGCCGAATCAATCTCTACCAAAGGCCTGAAACGCGACTTCTGTGTTCAGAAAAAGGCGGCTAGCATCAATCTTTTCTTGGCAGTAATACTGGTTAGCTGGACCTGTTATATATTGTAATTTCTTTTGGTTTAATATTACTGCTTTGATAAAGCTGTTGGCAGCAGCATTCATTCACTGGTAAATACAAGAAAAGCATTTAAATACAAATGAATACATCATATACCCGATGCCCAAATTTCTTCGAATTGTGAAAAAATGAACTTGGTTTGGACATATATGGGAATAATGAAATTATTTAAAAAGTATATCATCACGCTCTGTCGCCCTTGCGACCAATCTTAGTGGCACATACAAAATGTATACATACAAACGAAAGCATGCTGATAGTCTGACAAACAGACCACATAATTTGTGAACCAATAAGAAGCTGGGCAGGTAGGTAATAGTCAGGCAGCCAATCAGTCCATCAAGTGCATCACCTAAATACCAAGAAGCATACCAAACGATTTTCGGGCTGATTATTATTTATTTCCCTTGACGTCTTATTTTGAAGAAAACAATTCACACTTAAAACAAACTTTTGCATACCCAAAAGCGTATTTTTGGTTTGTCTTTTTTTGCATCTGACACACACACACACACAAAAGCATAAATCTGAAAAATGTCATCTTGTGATCCCATATACACCACCTACGCGTAAAGATAAAGAGGTGAATTTTTCTACAAGATTTTAAGTGAAAAAAACTAATAACCAAGCTACAGGCTACACACTCAGGCTAAGTGAATAGTTTTGTCCGTGTACTTTAATGTCGAGGATAAGATCTTTGCGCATCACTAACATACACACACGCACACAAACTCTATGCAAACAACATACCAAAAAAGGAAAGAGACTATAACATGGATAAAATCATTTCATCATTAAGATTGTTCTAGTTATTTGCCATTGTATAAAGATAGGATGCAAACGGATTGGGTGTGAGGATGGACAAATACTCGCCGCCAGCGATGATATTGGCTGATGCCAGTCACGCAATAACGTGTGTGAATCGGCAGAGATTGGAATTCATGAGATGACCATTGGATCATTGGACCCAGTGGCTATGTTAATGGTCTACACGAACTCATTCGCCTTGTAACTGGAAGATCCTGGATTTGGAACCCCCACTGAAGCAGAGTCTCAAACTAGGTAGGACAAAACGGTGGCCGTACAGTGCTCCCTACTGGTTTTCCAATGGCTTTCTAACTGATGTCAGTTCACGATGAAATAAATCCTGAAACTAATCAAATCCCGGCAAACCATTAACACTTGAAGATTCAATGTTCTAAGGTTATGTTTGTTCATCACTGGTTGAACAAACCTTTTTAAAACTGCACGGTTAGACCTTATTAAATTATCGGTCCAAGTAGCAAGCAAAAAGACACAATTCGTGTTATTCCATTGTTATCTGTCTGTATGTTGTCTGCATGCTAGTCACTACCACCAGGATTGACTGACTAGTTTCAACGTAGAACTCTGTGTAGATAAGCACCAGTTCAACTTGTCACATTCCCTGCATCTACCACATCGACCAAGAGAAGACAGTAAGCAGAGATTCAAAACACTCACACACAAATAACAGACACAAGAGTGTGTGAGGCAAAAGGAATAGGAGTAACATGGAAGAACAGAGTTTTACTGGATGTGATAAATCACAAAGACTAAATGCATCTTCACCAGCGACAGCCAGCACCAAGAACGATTTTCAACCAGACATATCACCAAATATCTCCAGCCTTCATTGGTTCTCACCATCACTCCGAAGACTCCAACTAGACAGTCAGTCAGACACGTAGGAAGGTGTCGACTGTCTAAACTAACTGTTATGGATTTCACTGACTAACGATGAAGCCATGTTTTCGTTTGACCACAAACCAACCCCCACCACCACTGGCTAGCACTCCTAAACTTCTCTAAGCCGTTAGAAAACCTGGTCAAGAGTAAAAGGTTGGGTATGAGGCTAGTAATCCGAACTAGAAATAAAAATAAGCCCACTACTGGCTACTGAAACTTCAAAGCTCTGCTCTATAAGTTCCACTGGGAACTCAAAGATATAAAATGAAAAAAGGCGATGAAGCAGACAAAAAAAAATATATATATACATCTAATTTTTTTATTATAGCTTGAAACCACACAATATTTTTGGTACAAGTATGGAATTTTCAGAATATGATATCGGTAGCCCAAATTTCGCAGGCCAACCATAGATATGAGGTGTGCATCAGCAGGGGACCGAACCTCAGACCATATGCACGGTCGGCGAGAGTCCTAGCCGCTGTGTGTGTTATGGTTCATTAATATTTATTCTCATACAGAACACTTACGTTATCACCTGCCAGTTCAATGGAGATGACGGCAAACGGAGAAACAGTATTTATTTAGCAGCGTTAACAAAGTGCGTCGGTGACACAGCTGTAGACTGCTCACCAACAACGCCCTACATATGGTTGAGGGTTTGATCCCGACGACACCGACGCACTGCTTTACGACGCTAAGCCATCAAAATAAGACTGGTAGAGAGGGGGAGGTTGGGCATGCGGCTAGCAGCAACCTCACCCCCCCCCACTAAAAAGAAACACAACTAGTACCGAAACTTCAAAGCTCTAGCTTGTAAGCGTCCTATGTTCCGCACGGAATATAAAGGAATAAAATGATTTTTTTTTAAATAATAAAATGTAACCTGGTATTGAAACTATTTAATTGGAATTTTAGATTTTCCCGTCGATTGATTGATTGGACCGAATTGCTCGGTCTCAGGTTGACATGTGTCGGCTTCTTGTGCAGATGCTTCGAAAATGTTTGGGCATGTTGTTAAAATTTAACTGGTGGATGGTGACAAGCAGTGGAATCCAGGGCAAATCGCATTTCGTCCTATTTGGGACTCGTCATCTGGACATACCTGCATTCCCCAGTGAGTGATGATGTTCCCACTTAGGCTCGAACCCAGTGACCATAGTTTCAAACGCCAAAGCCTTATCCACTAGACCAGGGGAATGCAGGCACATCCAGTTAGCCGATGAGTCCCAAATAGGACGAAACGCACATCATGGATTCCACTGCTAGTCACCATCCACCAGTTAAATTCTAGTATTGAAAGCAATCACAAAAATTTTGTGAGTACACAACACAAAGAATTGCAAGACATGATTTTTATAATTCTTTTGTTTGAATAACACAAAGCTGATCTCTGTGATGAGTTCACTATTTTATTTGAAGTGTTGACGCTGATGTATTCCAAATCTTTTCCTAACTAACTAACCCCAATATCACCTTAATTAGATTAATTTCAAACGTTAAATATTCTGCACAAATTAACACATCAGTGTTAGATGGAGATCACTGAAAACCAATAAGGAGTACTAGACACCTTCCGGCTGTTTCGTCCGATTTTAGGACTCTTCATCAGTGCGTCGCCTGAAAATTGAAACTAGGACTTCTAGATTACAAGACCAAGCATGTTGATGACTATTCAACCACTTGGGTTTGTGGGCTTCACAATCACGCATGAATTCTAACTTTATGAACTCGTGAAAAAACGCTTCCGTCCCCAACCAATGATTTAGACGACCAAGCTTTCACACTGCATCTAGACATTGTGGATGACACATTGGTCACAACTTCTTACTCAGTACAGCTTCATCAGGAAATACATTGGAGTAGGCATCAGTGAGAGCTGGTGACTGGTGTTCAGATTATAGGATTATTTGGAGGAATTTGTCTGTCTCTATCCCCCACCGCCTCTCCTAGCCTAAACGTTAACCTATTTAAGCCTTGGTTTGTAGGGATTTGATTGGTTACAGGATTTCACCATGAGCTGACATTAGTTAGAGAACCATTGGAAAACCAGCTGGGAGTACTGGACAGCTGTCTCGTCCTAGTTTGGGACCCTTCACAGTACGCACCCACCGGGATCCGAACCCAGGACCTTCTGGTTACATTGTGCGTACTGATGAAGAGTCCGAAACTAGGACGAAACAGCTGTCCAGTACTCCCAGGTTTTCCAATGGTTCTCTAACTGATGTCAGCTAGTGATGAAATTCTGTTAACCTACTTTTTCCAACCTAATCTAAGATTAATCCAGACATTCTGTTTAATAATATAATTACACACTCCATTCAATGCTTG